GCGATGGCCGAGAGACCAAGATGAAGATCATGCGCGACACGCATCTGTACCAAGAGTATGGTGAGGGCTCTCCCTTTGCGAAGAGAACAGTTGTGGTGCTGCGTAACATCGACCTCGCTTTCACGGCAACCGGCATCTTTATCAAGTTCAACCAAGATTCCGGCGCAGCTAGACTCGTCGGCGCAACCTGGCAGGATACCATCCGGTGGTTCCAAGCAATGGCCGAGGCTAGCATTCCGGACGAATAGAGATGCACACGCAGCACCTCGATGTCAACCGCATCACCAGCGACTTCGTCGCGACCAGTGGAACACGCACCAGACAGCACACACGGCCCTCAAACGAGCATCCTCGACGCCTCTCCTCTCCCAATCATACCAGCCTATGTTCGGATAACGTCGAGAAGGGACCGATCAAACGCGCGCAGCTTCAACAATGTAAATCTTGTACTACCTCCGCCCGTATGAAAGCGATGCGAGTTTGTGGTTCTGAGTTGTTGAGGAGTACGTGAGACGCGTACATGATCGCGAAGACATATGCGATTCTGAGACGCATCAACTGCGTATGCCCCGCAAAAACTTGCAGCGAGCCAACCCATCCAGCCGAACAAAGGCGGCCCTCCGTTCAAACTGCATGCGCCTTTGAAGGGGATACCTTGGTCTACAGCTTGCTGGGGCCAGCAGTTGCATCCAAGGATCATGTGAGAAGCCGGCCACACGTGCCCATAAAGTGCCCTTTCCTGTTCAGAGTCCGGTGTTGCTCTCGCACGGGCAGCCGCAACATCAGTAACGAAGTACGAGCAAGAGCTCTCGACTGCCGCTGAACGTTCAGACATCAACCAAGCCCGGAAACACATACGGCTCGAATCAGCTCCACACCACCCAGCCCTTCGATACAAAAAGCATTCACATCAACTCACCAAAATCACCACCAGCACTACACGAAAATCTAGTCCAGATCCAGCGCTTTCCAGCAATGAAATCCAAATGTCGCATCCAGATGCACAGAGCCAGTTCAATCAAACCACCCCCTCCTACCTGCAAGAGAGACGAATAAGCAGCTGATCACAGCCACCGAACAGGTTCTCGACAATACCGCTAGCTAGAGAGGTGAAACCCATACATGGGCGAGGATAAACGGCCAGCCTCGAAGGCTAAGCCCTCTTGCAATCCTCAATGTCAAGACATGGAGGCACTCGAAGTCTCATGAGGCACACATGCAGCCGGCGGCAGAGAGGACCAAATCAATTAACGATTCCTACGTTGGTGCGCGGGTGCAATAGAGACAGATAAGCAAATGATGGAAGCCAGCAAACGAGTCTATACGATATAGAGGGGCGAAGAGAGCGGGAGAAGATATGCGAGAGCGAGAAAGTTCCAAATGTCGCGGATCCAGATACGACTACGAGAGCGAAGGGGGGTATTGAAAGAATCGAAACGAGTCCAGAGAGCTGCATAGTATGTTGGAGGTAGACGAGGGTATCTTTGTATAGTCGAGAAACAGGGCTAGCTCGACGAGGGGATCGGGTTGGGCTGGGTGGCGGATCGGAGCATGTACGGCGCGGAGCGTGCGGCGTGGTGAGGCTGGAACGACTGCATCTGCTGCAACTGCATAGTCGATTCGTTGGCGTAAAAGTGAGACCCCATGCTCGAGGCAGGCGCGCACTCGCCCTCCCAGAGGCCCGGGTCAATGTTGCCGTTCGATTGGCTGGTGATGACACAGCCATTCGACAGCACCGAGAACGACGCGGGCGCCGGCATCATCGAGCTGCCAAAGCTCGAAGGGCCATGCGGCTCGCCATACGCCATGTTGGCCACCGACACATGCTCAAAGTGCGGTCGCGCCGACATGTGCGCATCGAACGCATGCGAGTCGCGGTGGTCGGGCGTGCGCGGGAAGTGCGACATCTCCGACGCCGGCGTGAGCGTGTTGGGCGTCGAGCAGACGCGAGCCATGGTGCCTTCCGGACTGCAGAAGCTGGCCATCGAGCTGCCAGTCATGCAGTTCGACATGACGAGGCTCGATCGGCGCGTCAGGTCAAATCCATCCGAGCTCGTGTTGGACGAAGCGCACGACGACATCGGAGGCGCGCTGTACGACGTTGTCGCGTACTCCCCGTGCGGCATGGCGTAGCCGTACGCGTGACCGCCGCGAGCACCATCACCCTCGAGCTTGACGCCGGCGAGGTAGTGGTGCTCAAGTCCTTGCGGGAATGTGGAGCGTGCGTGCGGCGGAAGTGCACTGCGCGCGACCGAGAACGAGTTGCTGAGGATGCTCGCTGTGCGGCCGGTGCCCATGTATGTGCCTTCGGCGTCAGCATGGTTGCGGCGCGTGTGCTTGGTGAGTGTAGTCTTGCGGCAGAAGGACTTTCCACAGCCCTGTATTAACAGCAATCAAGACCAAGTCAGACTCCTGCCGCACACTTTTCGAAGTACAACCTCGCTTCGAAGACTTACTGGCACTAGACAATTGTATGGGCGTCGACCGGTGTGGATCCTCCTGTGGCGTGCGAGCGAGCTCGAATCCGAGCTTCAAGGGCGAATAATCAAATCGCGTTAGCGTCCGAATCCGATGGCCACGATGTTGATGCACTGTATGCGAGCACTTACAATGCCTTGCTGCACGACTCGCAGACATGCGGACGCTCGCCCGTGTGGACGCGGATATGGACGGTGAGGGCGGAGCGTTGGATGAAGGTTTTGCCGCAGCTGCGAAAGTGGCAGCTGAAGGGACGCTCCTGACTGTGGATGCGAGCGTGCCTGTTGGTTGCACGAGACAAAGGGATGCGGAGAAACGAAGAGGGACAAGGTTAGCTCCGAGTCCGGATGGTGCATGAAAGGGGACCTGATTCCGAGCTTCCAAAGGTGGCGGTCGGGGCTGAAATTTCCACGTGGCTCTGGATTTGGACAGCTCGCATACTGCTGGTGCCGCCGAAAACGAGCCGCTCTGGCGTCCAACATGTATGCACCCTGAGCTGTGATGCAGTGCCACGGCTACATCCAAGCACAGCATCCCTTTGTCTTTACCTTGCAAGCTGCATGATGACAGCGTGCAGAGTCCAGAAAAGACATGTACTTACCGAGCCAGGTCAGAACGTCTGTCGGAGGGCATTGCAAGTTGGCGCCAGACAAGCAGCATTGGACGAACAAAGAAGCGGTCGAGGTCAGCTCGATGCGGCGAGGTGTGGGTGAGTGTGCTGGCTGTCCAGATCACTTACCTCGAGAATGCCTTGGGACAGCCAGGGTGCTGGCAGTCGAACGGCCTGCTCTCCTTGCGCTGATCTTCGTGAACGAGCTCTGCATACGTTGACACCGAGGTGAAATGGCCACCATACGAGCAGCAGAGAACGGAAAGTGTTAGTCGAGATCTCCGCTCAGCTGCTTCAAATCCAGTGGACAGTGCTGAAAGCTTACCGAGGATATCCATGATGGCGAGTGTATGTGAGGTCCCAGGTGAGAAACGGCCGAGGAAAGGGAAGGAAGATGTGGATACGGAGAGATGAGCTTGGAAGGGGACGACGGCTGATGGAATCTGGCGCGCTTATGTATGAGTGGAGGCCAGAGCTGTTGGCAAACAAGTGGAAGAGCATGGGCGGCAAGTCGAAGAGCGAAGGACAAGGCATGAGAAGCAGAGAGGGATTGGGGCTCAGACAGAGTCAGGGACCGTTCTCCAGCAAAGGCCCAGCGGCTCACGGTCAAAGGAGGACTGAGAGTCCGGGCCCAGATTGCACGCAGAGTGAGCGGCTGATGGCAACATGGATGCTGCTCGATCTGAAGTTGCTTCTGCCGTCGACTAGGCTGGTGGCACGTAGGCACTACGCGAATACGTCGCCGGTTGCCCACCACGGGAGCCCTGGTCGGTGTAAAGTGGCAAGCGAAGTTCGCTGCCGAGGCTGCAGAGCGACAGCGGAAACCGGAGCTGAGCGGGAGCATTGCATCAGGCGGTACGGCTGTGCTTGGCGAGAGTCTGCCGTCGATCCGACTGTGATCACGTTGTGACAGGTGAGTGGCGCGGAGCTGCATCCAAGCCGAGGTGGAAGCATACAGTGCTAGCGGACAATAAGCTGAGCTCAGCCCACTTGCAGCTGAGCGAGCCAGAGCGACGGCAGGAGCCACGGCAGAGCGGCAGCAAGTCCAGTGACGGCATACAGCGACCATGGTTGGTGGGCGTTTCGGTTGGGCTCGACCCAGAAAATCCGAGCCGGTGCCAAAGCCCGCGAGCCCGCAGCCGGCAAGCAGCGCCCGCGAGAAGAGCACACACTTCGGGCTCAGCGAGCCTCGAACCGACTCGTCAGCCTGGCTCAGAAGACAATGGCCCCATGATTGTGATGCAGATGCGAGATCTGAATTCGTCCTTCGGCGCACACCTCCTAAAGTCACCTGCTCGTTCGCTCTGGCTCGATGGCGCTTGTCTGCCGTAGTCGAATCGAGCGAAGCCGTTGTGCCCGAAAAGCGGCCCCGTGAGGAATCAAAGGGAGAAGCCGAAATTCCGCCTTTGACGCCGCCTGCCGTTGAATTCGCGTTCGCGTTCGATGTGGCCATAAAGGGCCGGTGCCGGAAAAAAAAGGTGTCACGCACTGCAGCGAGCGAGGTCGCCTGTCAAAGCGCTCATCATCCAGCCGCTCACCATACACAGCCGCTAGCGTGTGTCCATATGATGCCGAGAAGAGTGCAAGGGGCTTCGCATGGGAAAACTATCCGCTGTGACCCGAATGGAACCGATGCGGCCACGAGCAGGGTCATAAATCTAGTAGCAACCGGGAACAAGCGTCTAGTCCGAGCAGAACGTGACGAACCGTCTTCATGCGGTCCCTCGGCACCGATTGTGTGAGGCAAGCGGGGCTGAATACCACCCAGCTCGGCGACAGGGCAAGAAGAGCCTGCTAGCATCGCAGTCACAATTTCTTGCGATGGTGTAGCGAGTGCTAAGTACGCGCCACCCGGAGTCATGCAGATCCTCGGCTGGGCTTTGTCGTGAGCACTGCAGCCAGCCCCTGGTACTCCTCTCGCAAGGGCCGCCAATGTGCAGCGAATTCTGTCCAAGCATCGCTGACAATCGCGCAGACAAAGCCATCCGGGAATGGCGATGCGACAGTGGTGTCGACACCTGTCGACGACCCGTGCTGCGGTTATGAAATGCTCGACTGAGACAAGAGGTGTGAGCGGGCTGAGCCATTCATGCCAAACTGGATTCACACAGGGTCGGGAGCCGACGATGCCAGACTTCGGTCGGTGAAGAGGAGGCGGAGTCGGCATTTTGGGGCGTCGATCTCGGTGTGGCGGGTGGATTAGGGTTTTGACACATGCACTTGGCATGCCGCAACACTGCGCTCGTCCTTGCCCCACGCAACGACTTCGCCGCAAAAACCAAAACGGCCGTTGGCTGCTCTCGGATCTGTTCCAAAAGTCTGGGTCTGAGCTACGGCACCTCCGAAGCCGGTAGAGAAGCCAAGCCAAGCCGAGATGAGAAGAAGAGCGGCAAAAGAAGCATGGTTTCTGCCTCGACGAGTCGCCTAGCCAGCCCACATCGCAACCCGGACTAACCGTCGCTGAGCCTGGATCCGCGCGAGATGAAGTCGCCTGTCCAGTCTGTCCGTCCGCCTAGTCCGAGTCGATAAGCTGACCGTGTTTCGTTGGTGCGATTTGGAGCACGTGCTTGGGCTTTGCCACCGCAACAGCTGCGAGATGAAGCCCCGTCCTGTAAGATCGCTCGGCCTGCTAGTTTTGCGCTACTGCAAACGAGGCGGTCCAGCCGCTTGTTTGCAGATTGCACTGCCAAAGGCCAAGCAGTGCATCAGGCTCCCCTTTGCGACGCTGTGGCGAGCGTTCAACGAGGTCCGAGTTCGGAATTCGATTCGAGTTTTGGCGAGGTGCGGGGGAAAAGCCCCGCGCAGCGACACGCGGCGATGCCATTGTTGGACATTTGTGATGAGGTTTTTGACAGCTGCGCACGGCGACTCGGGGCATGAGGCGTGTGCAGTCGAATGCAGGTTGATCCGCAAACAAAGCCTGCTTCCCGTGCTTTTTCCACGCCCCATCTAGGTCTCTGCATCCTCCGTTGGGACCGGTCACCTCTCCTGGCAGATCGACAATACAATTGTTCGGAGTTGTCGCCATGCTTGCCCATGCTCGGTTGCCGACACGATCATTGTGTGCTTAGTCTCGATGAGCAGCCGAGCGGCGTAGATTCGATCCAAGTCCAGCTTCGTGACCCGAGCGCACGCAGCAAAAGAATAGGTTCTTACCGATGCCCGGCATACGAGAGGCCCCATCTCATATGAAGCAGCTGGCATGCGCGACGGGTCACATCTCCTGAGACCACACATGCCGCCTGACAGTCCCCATTGAGCTGGGGGCGGTCGAGCCGGACACACCAGCCGTCCGCCGCCATTCAGTTCCGGCCATTCAAGGCAGACGCTATGGCCTCGTCGATCCCGGTCGCGCAGCTGAGCATGAGGGTGCTTTAAGCGATGCTCCGAGTGCTTGGACCGGGTAGACCGCACTGTCCGAAATGTCCGCGCGGCTGGCAAAGTCTCCGGTGCTGCGTCCGTAGCATATCGTAGGATGCGACCTCATATGTGGCTGTGTGGTGTTGCGACGCCAGACCTGCCTCGCTTCATCTCGCACAAGCGCTCGCCGCGCTAAGTTAGCCGCACTGTTCGACTGACGCTAGGCGTCCGATCGAGGCGGACATTCGCTTGGCAGGTACGAGCTGATCGCTCATTGGTGGCCTGTCTCGCTCCGAAGAGTGCTCCAAAAGGGTATAGGAGCATTGTCGATCGGGCTGGACGCATCTCGATCAGCTCATACGGTTTGTGCCGATTCCATGACAAGAGCAGCTGACTTCCAAATTGTATTGTACTGACGACCTGTATTATGCGAGCGGTAAGGCTGGGTTGTCGATGAGCACGTTGACGAGAGGTTGAAAGAGTGGAGCGCCGCGCATAAAGTCGTCTGCCTGTGCCCACGCCACAGCCTCCGCATGATCGAGTGCAGGATGTTGCGCGGGCAATCTTTGGCTGTTTTGCAACGACGGGCTGAGAGGCGAGTCGACGCCGGGGCTGAGGTTTGTCTCGTCCGCCTCTTGCAGAGCCTGAGCCAGACTGTCCGCCTCGAGGAGCTTGTCGATGGACACGGGCAACGAGCGACCTTCGGAAGCGGCGCTCATTTGGAGCATCTGCAGTTCTTGCTGGCGATGTGCAGTGTTGCGGAGGTAAGGGATGGGCACCCATGCCCAGCCGAGACACTTGTTGGGCTCCATGATCCTGGCCTGGGCGACTGGGCTCGCGGGATCGGGCTTGACGCTGGCCTTCATAAAGATGGTGACGTAGTGCTTGCCGTCGCCTCTTTCGCCGTGGTCCTTCATGTGCACCGAGTTCTGGGCGGTGATGAACTGCAATGGCGTTGGAGGTCGGCTTGTCGGAGCTGATTGAGTGGAAGTGCCCAAGGACGGTCGCGAGTGTACTGGTGACGATGGCGACAGCAGCTGAGAGGGAGGCAGCGCGTCGGGCAGCTGCAGAAGGAGGCCAGTCTCTTCGTATGTTTCGCGGGCGGCACACTCGTAGAAGGACTCGTGCAGCTCGAGATGACCTCCCGGAAGGGCGATCGTGCCTGCACCGTGGCTTCCCGTGCGCTTGCCGACCAGTACGTGGCCCTGTTCGTTGAGCACAAAGACGGCTACGCCGACGCGCGGGATCACGGTCGCGTCCGAGACGGGCGCTTGTGATGTCGCAACCATGCTGGGTGAAGGTGGGCGAGGCAAGTGTTGATGCGACGGAGATTCCGATGCAGCACGTCAATGCCAATTTGGTGGTCGAGAGCAGACTCGAGCTGAGCTGAACCTGTCTCGTCAGTGCACCGGTGATTCCGAGAAGGGTGACTCAGGGTGCATGCCATTTTTGAGCGCGTTTCAGCTGAGAGGTGTTGGTCTCTGCGCGTGCAGCTCAGCTGCTGCCCCCGGCTAAATAAATTGGACACATCTTCCGAGATTCCCGCCAGGTGTGCCTGAAGACAGCCGCGACCCTCCTTTTTGTGACCGCATTTTTCGAGTAATTTTTTCGAGATTTCTTTTTCCCGAAAATCCGTATCGATGGCCGAAGGGCGACGCAGCGTGGTGGGGAAGGGTGTGCGCATGCAAGAAAATGCACGTCGAGGATCTTTGTCGCATCTGATCTCAAAACAAAGGGCAGCAGGGCAGGGCGCTGAGGCAGAGGAGCTTGACCGCGATGACGGGCAATTTGCATTTCATGCACGGCAGCTGCTTTTGACGTGGGCGAGCCGAGAAAGGGCAGCATCGAAAGTGCCGCGTGCACCGCCTCTGCGCCCACGAACCACGCTTCTCACCACCACCGCACTTCACCCATCCGCTCTCGCGCATCTGCTGCACAGCCCGCCCTCGAGCTGCTGCCCTTCTGCAACACGTATACAAATACGGAGAGGATCACGCTTATCGTCTCGTCGGAACACCCGCCGACAGCAGCTATTGCAAAAGACCCGACTATCAGCTCGACCGGTTGCATCCCATACGAACGGCACCATGCCAGGATCACCACCGCATCTGCCCGTGCTGCCGGCTGGCTTCGGCACCGACTCCTCCTATCCACCCATCCCCGGCAGCACGCGCGTCACCGCCT